GGTTTGGAAACGGTGACCTGAAATTCCCTCCCACATAAACTTTAAACTTCTCTGGTCAGCTGCCAGGGGCTGAGTATATAAATGCAGAATCTCCCAGGCAATGGCTTTGCCATCAGTCACTCTCTCTCCTTCCTTCTCTAACCAATCAAAGCACTGCCTGGCTCCCATCCAGGGAAGACTTTGGGTGACAGAAGTACCTAATTGAAAGGGTCTCCCCAGGACTGACTCTCCAGAGGAACAAGGTCATATGCCTTGAAGGCTTCCACCTTTCCTCTCCTGTGCAGCTGTACAGCCCAACAGCCATTCTGAATAACCCTTTGTGCTTTTTGTCAAGTTGCCCACCTATGACGGTTGCAAAGGTCCAGCACCTGGCAGACCCCAATGCACGGCAGGTGGACCACATTCAGCTTGGGGAGTTGGGTTCCATGTCATGTTGGTCTGCTCTGGAGATATTTTCACATAAGTGCTTGGCTCAAAGAGAGCAGGTGGGGTTTTAAAGCTGCTGCTGGATTATGTGACTTCAAACTGTAGGTAACAGGCCAAATCATTTAATGTTCCTCCATCTATTTCTCACAAATATTTCTAAGCCCCGTTCCCGGCCTGAAATAATACAGTCTAGAAACAGTTTTGCCACATCAAATCCTGCGGTGTGAACTAAGCCTGAGCATTAGAGGTTTCAATCGAGCGATCTTTGAACCTTTCTGTTCTATAGTTCCTTGCTGTTTTAAGGCTGGTGGAATATGTTGTGTTGCACGTCTCAAACACAAGCCATCCTCGCATATCAACATATTTTGAAAAATCTGAAAACGCTAACAAAGGGTCCCTAGAAACAGAAGCTAGAAAAGCACCTCAGAAAAATCTGGGCTAGAAAACACATCATCTCCCCCCCCCCCCAAGCTGCTCCTTGCAATGCTGCCCCCGCCCCCCCCCCCAAACACATTCCTATAATTATCACATAATTAGCAGGAAATGAAACAGGAGGACTGTAGAAAACAGCTGCATGGCATAAAAAGGCAAGGAAGAGTTCTGAGAAGTTTGGGCCAGAAACTTTTGGCCCACCATTAGAAACACAGCTCACCCCTCATTTGTACAGTGGCTCTTTTTCTGAGAGCCCAGTAAACTTATTGTCTTTCCCAATGGCCTGGGATGGCAGAAAGGATGGGCCTGGCAAATGGCAGGTGGACTGAATTCAAATCAGAGGACCACAAGTTGTGCAGACCAGGAGGGAACTGTCCTAGAAGTCTTCGGAATGGTCTCCCTAAGCCCACCTGGTGTTTGTGGACTGCCGTAGTGGTAGGCATTGGTCAATAAATAAATAAACAAATAAATTTATTATTTGTACCCTGCCCATCAAAGTCTGGTCAATATTGCTTTTTAATTATTATTATTATAGGGCTAAGAAAAGTGGAATGCTCCCCAGCACCATTTTTTCTTTATTAATTTATATATTGCTTTATATGCCAAAATGGCTTCAAAGCAGTTTACAACTATAAAATCAATACATAATTAAGATACACAATAAATTTTTTTTAAAAAAACTGTTAATACAATAAGACCAGTTCAGGGGAATGCCTGCATAAACAGGTGTTTTCGGGAGCCGAAAGAAACTAACATGGATGGGTCGTCTCGCATTTCAGCAGGGATGGCATTCCACCACACTGGTGCCACCACTGGAAAAGCCCACCCCCGTATTACCACAAGCTGATACTTATCAGATCATGGCAAAAACTACCCTGGCCCCTTTAGCTGACAGTGGTGCCCTTACTGGGCAGTGAGGAGGAAGATGGTCCAGAATTATTTGAGGCTTTGTGTGTAAGTAGCATCACCTTAAACCAGCTCCGTGACTAATAGGCAGCAAGAGCAGATCTCATAATGTACGCCCAATAAAGGAGCACCACTTGTGAGTTCTGCAAAAGCTGAAATCTCCAGACCATCTTCAAGGGAAGCCTCACTTACAGAGCATCATTAAAATAGCCCAGATGTGAGGTTACCAATCCACATGTAACAGAGGCCAAGTTTTCCTGTCCAGGAAAGGGCACAGTTGGTGCAGCAGCTGAAGCTAGTGATAGGTGCTCTTCAGAGGGAGGGCAATCCCATTTGTAACAAGCAGACTCCCCAGTACTTGTGCCCACTTACCCACAGGGTTCAGCTTCGGCCTGTTAACCCTCACCCACTGCACTCAGAGACTGGTTCAGCTTAGGTACAACCTCTGCCAACTTGGTTTCATTGGGAAAGCAGAGCTGAGCTTCATCAACCTTCTCATGATCACTCCTAATGGCCTCATATAGCATTGGCCCAAATGCAGACACGTCCTGCCCCACCTCTAATCTCTGGAATCACTGTAAATCAATGCCTCCCATTCCCAACCCATGGAGATGGTTCAGGGAGACAGCACATTCAATGGTGTCCAAAGCGGCTGACAGATCTCACAGCAGCAGGAGGGCTCTTTTGAGGGTCTCTCCCTCAAAAAAAGGTCATCTGTCAGGGTGGCCAGGGCCAGTTGCATGCCAAACCCAGGCCTGAACCCAGACTCACAATCTGTTTCCTCCAGGAGTGCCAGTCAGTTAAACTAGGAAGCCTTGCCAGGCTTACCTTTGTGTACACAATGGTGCCCCCCAGTGGCAGCAAAGCCAGTATTTTCTGCTGCTTTGACTCGACAAGCAGGGCTTGTTTCACAAATGTTTCGAGTTAGACTCAGCTGCTGGCTCTATAATCCACAGACCCACGCTGAGGGGGTGATGAACCTCTTAACCACAACTTAGCACTTAGGCAGGAAATCTCATCAAATTAATATTTCTAGTTTTGCACAGTCTTCAGGAAACTGATGTGGTGAGTGACAAAACAGGCGGCTTACCCAAGCTACATGGTGAGAGTATGTTCATGTGAAGCCGTTTCATGCTATGAGGTAATCCACAAAGCTTCACAGGCACTGTGATGAGCCTTCCCTGGTCCAGATTCTACTCAGAGCGCTTGAGATCACAGGAAAGCAACAGGCACCACAAGAACTTCAGCATGACTTGAAGCTTGCTCAGTAGTTGGGCTTCTCAGTCACCCCGTGTTAAGACTGTGCACAGTATAGCTTTTTAACATTCAAAAAATGCTACACTAGGTTATGTAGCCCAACCTGAAGCAAAACAGGAATCCAGAATTCTGCAAGCTGCAATTCATTCTGGAAATGTGGAAGTCTGGTTCAATCCATGCAGTGAATTTTGCCAAGGCTATCCTACTCCCTCTCCCAGGAGGTTGGTCTAATCCCTATACTAGAGGTTTCCCCAACTACCAGTTGAGACTGCCTTGCTTTTAATGCCCTTGGTCTGGTCTCTTGGGTGCTTGTCCTGCCCTGGCTTTTATTGTTCTGTTTTATATGTCATCATTACGCTGCTGCCACTCAGCCGTGTTGCTTGCGTTTGTATTACATTTCAATGTTATTTTTGGATTCTATCTATTTTATTCTGGGAGCCAGTTTGGAAGCCTATGGGTAGAAAAGCAGTCTAGAAATACTAATTCTATATATAGATAGATACTATTCCTGTAAATGTTGTTGTTGTTGTTTTAAGTTCTGCATTACCACCACAGAAAACGATTTCAATCAAGGACTAGCAGAGAGGCAAGGACTTTGAAGGAAGTAAGGGTGAGAGTGAGGAATTGTATGCGCTCGTAACTAAAGCAGGGAACAAGGTGGGACATTTGAAATGATGTCCCTCCTGACCTCCTCTCATGGAGATCACCAGCAGGCTTGTGACCTAATGGATATCGCATGTAGAACTGGTTGCAGGAACAGGCATCTCTAAGCAGGGCCAATGTGCCTGGCCAGAACAACTAAGGCAGCTTGAAAAAGGACCATCATGATCACGTAAACTGCAGTGACCACATTAACACACACACACACACACACACACACACACACACGCACACACCTCAAAGCAGCACTCCATACAAATCAGCCCCACTACACAATCTATTGCAGATCACAAAACCTGTGGAACTCCTGCAAGAGACTACACGGAGACTGGTCCCCAGTAAATACTGGATTTATTTTAAGAAACTGTGGGGAATTTACACACCCAGGTGTGTCAGAAAATAATACCACTTGGGCCACTTCCCACAAATATCCAGTGCCTGCATTTGGTCCAATGCCAAACTGTGGTTTACTGCAGCCTTACCCAACCTGGCGCCCTCCAGTGGTTTTGGAATACAATTCTTGTCGGAACATTTTATCATATGTGGTGGGAATGTAAGAAAGTAAAAAACTTCTGGGAAATGATATATAATGAGATGAAAAAGATGTTGAAATATACATTTCTTAAAAAACCAGAAGCATTTTTACCAGAAGCAAGAGTATTGTTGGCTCAGAAATGGAAGCAAGAAGAAATACCGATTGGATAAAATGACAGGAAGGATTCGAAACCTGTGGGACCAGAGATTTACAGAAGATTGGAAGAAATATAGGAATTATTTGAAGAGCAACTGTAATCAACAAATCACGCTAGTAGGACTACAAGAAGTTTTGTAAGGAGAAATATTGCAAATAAGAGAGCTATTAGTTATGAGATTTAAATGTAATAGTGAAACTAAGAACTGTAAATTAAGTGAATAGATTGGAAAATTTTCAGATGTGATTGATGGATGTAAAAAAAACTGTATGAGATGTAAAAGTATGTTTAATTACTGTTGAAAATGATATGTTGAAAACTAATTAAATTAAAAAAAAAAAAAGGAATACAATTCTTGTCGGTCTCAGCCAGCACAGCCAGCATCAGAGATGACTCCAGCTAAAACATGGAATCACAGAATCTCAGAGTTGGAAGGGACCACGAGAGTCATTTAGTCCAGTGTTTCCCAAACTTGAGTCTACAGCTGGTTTTGGAATACAGTTCCCATCATTCCTGACCACTGGTTCTGCTAGCCAGGGATGATGGGAGTTGTAGTTCAAAAACAGCTGGAGACCCAAGTTTGGGAAACACTGATCTAGTCCAACCCCTTGCAATGCGGGAATCTTGTGCCCAATGTGGGACTCAAACCCAGAACTCTTGAGATTAAGTGTCTCATGCTCTCCTGTCTGAGCTATCCCGGGCCCAGGAGGGCAAAGGTGTATGGTTCTATTGGCAGAGCATCAGACTCTTAATCTCAGGGTTGTGGGTTTGAGCCCACGCTGGGCAAAACATTCCCGCATTGCAGGGGGTTGGACTAGATGACCCTCGTGGTCCCTTCCAACTCTATAATTCTATGATTCTAAGGCTGCTTTAGTGTTACATGATGAAGCCTTGGACTTATGCACTCCCTTTCCACTTTTCCTCCACCACCACAGTCACGAGGAGCAGACTGGAAGCTTTTGCTTCCGTTTTAAGATAACTGCATTTTGTGGCCATGTCTCAAGGCAGTCAAGCTGTGGCTAGTCTTAATTATGGCTTAGAGGGCAAAGCCAACTTCAAATTGTGGTTTCAGATCCTGGCTTGTTTCCTTCAACCATAGTTAAGACAAACCACAGTTCTGAGTTGCAACTTAACAACAAATCACAGTTAGTCAAAAATGGAAACTGAAGCTTCCCGTTTCCTCCTTGTGGCCACTCAGGAGAAGGAGCACCTAACACAAAGCCAAAGTTCAGAGCTGAACTCAGCCAGGGGCCATGCTCAGAAGTAATGGTAAACCAGGAAGGATGATTTCTCTCTGCACCTAGAGGGCTCCCACTTTGCTCCTCTTTTAGCTGGGGAGGGAAGCAAACCACAGGCTTAGCACTGAATCCAAACCAGTTTTTGAGGTTTGCTTCTCCTCAACAAACCTTGATTTCAGCTGATGGCTTGTTTGGAGAGAAAAGTTCAGATGTAACGCTAAGACTGCCACTCTGTGGTTTGTTCCATCACTTTTGAAAACTTAAAAATGGTTTATAGCTGGGTTGTTGTTTTTTAAGTCAGCTTGTTTTTAACTTCAGACTTGTCTCAATGGTTGTGATGCTTTTACATTTTAAGTAAACGGCTGAAAGCTATTTCTTTTCAATTAAGCAGCACACAAATTCTGTTTTGATAAAATAAATAAGGGAGGAACAAAGTGGGGGAACTTGAGCTCATGCACAGCACAGTTAAACAAGCCATACTTTGTGCCCTAAGCCTTGGACACATTAGATTAGTGGCTTGAAAGACAGCATTTGAAGTCACACTGTTTTACAGGTCAGAGGAGGGGCAGGGATGTCTTCACCCGATGCCCATGAGCTGGCACAGACCTGTAGCCAGTGGGGGCTAAGGGGGCCCTGCCTCCCCCCCCAAAAAAGGTTCCCTGCTGCAGCTCACCCATTTCCTTACAAAGAAATAATTAAATCAACAGGAAGGCCTTCCTTTCTTAAAGGTAATCCAATCCCCCCACCCCAGCCTAGCATTAATTAAACTATACATTTCTTCCTGCCTATTTTATTCTTTGCTCATAACTCTTATTTGTACTTTTCACTGCGCAAGCCAGTTCGAGTATCTTTTTGGAAAGGCAGAGTGAAAATGATGTGACTGAATGAATGAATGAACGTCTGCATTACAGGCCAGACTGCGTAACTCCACCCTGGAGCTCAAATTAGTTTGACCCCAAATGTCCAGTTCTGTACCTCCAATATTCATCTGTAAAACAGGAAAATATCTCTGCTCACATGCACACCAGTTGTGATTTCACTGCTCAAGGTGCACGGCATGGCAACTTCTGACAGTTGCATCAGAAACCACACAGTATTACAGCACACCATTGGGCAACACCCCCTGAATGAGGCCATAAGAACCAAAACAATTATTTGGCAATAGTGTTTGGTGATGTAGGAGTTGTTTGTCCCTCCACCCACCACTGGCATCAACCTGTCTCTAAGTTTCAGGCAGCTGTGTACGTGTGATGCAGAAGAATCCAATTTCTGGCAGAGAGGGAATTTTTGCAGTTGCAGCAGCTGGAAGCATGGTTAAAACTTCTGACATGCAAGATGCATACACACTATACATTTAAAGCACATTCAAAGCACAGTTTTCCCCTCACACCCCCCCCCCCCCGCAAATAGAATTCTGGGCACTGTAGTTTGTTAAGAGTTGCTTGGAATTGTAATTCTGTGAGGTTAAACTACGGTGCCTAGAATTCTTTGATGGAAAGAATGTGCTTTGAATGCAGCTAGTCTTTTCTGGTGCTTAAGAAATAAGCTTCCCATGATAGTTTGGAATGAACCAGCATTGCTCTGGTGGTTTTTGAGCAGGAGTGGGCAGACTTTAGGGTTGAGTGGCTGACTTTGGTGGTGGTGTTGTTGTTCTTTACTAGAATACCACGATCTTTCTATCAGAGACAAGTGTAAAAGAAACACAGTTAGAATTAAAGAGCAGGACACACGGTGAGTCCGGGAATTTATTTTCAGTACCAGAGCTAAATGAGCTCAAAATCCTTTCACACCAAATCCACTTCTAGTTGGCTTTCTTCATTTCAGCAATGAATTTAGGTGACAAAAGTCATTTTGTGGTTGCCTTGTTAAACAACTGCAAAGTCAGAAACCTTTGCTCATCTACTGCAAATAACCCTGAGATCCACCACTAGTTCCCAATCTACTTTCTGGGCACCTGGGTCAGAAAGCAAACAGAGAATTCTCTTTCTTGCACCAATTTCCACTACTGCAAAGGCACAGTGGAACTCATAACCAGGTAGAAACCTGCACTCTCTCATGGAGGCCCCTGACAAGTAACATCACTGTCTGATTGATTCCATGAAAATCTAAAGAACTTCACATGTGAAAAACCCAAAAAATTCAGAACCTTCCATATGTCATATATTCCAACAGTCCCCATTTACCTTGGACAGCGTATATTTTCTGATAAAGATGATAAGATGCATCCATATAATTTTGTTGGTCAAAACTATTGGGCTGAAAGGGTTTAAACCTATACCTACTTATTTGGAAACAGGTCCCAGGTGATCTCTGTGAATTCAGCAAGACTCACCCTATAAGCTGTTTATTTTAAAGTTATGTTTTTATTATGACTTTTCTGTATTGGATCAGATTGTTATTAGGTGTGTGATCTTTGTTGTCTATTTTCTTGTTTCTTCAGCTTGTAAACCACCTTACGCATAGCAATATAGAAAGGCAGGAGACAAATTAAAAGGGAAATGGAAATGAAATACACAGGCCAGCTTCAAGCCATGCATAGTGCAACAACTCTTGTTGATTTGAAACTGTTTTCCTTGTAAGTTAAAAAGCTTTCCTTGCTCTGTAGCGCAGTACATGCTTCAGCAATGTGAGCAATGTCTAGAACACAAGGAAGAGCTGCATTCAGCACTCATTCTTGGTGCATTATCAGGAGTATCCGCCAGTAATCAACTACTACTCCCATTTTCATCTGTGAAATGTTAGAGTGTAAAATATGCTTGCTGTCAGGGTGCTTCCAGACCAGGGCTTAGTACTGCAAACCGGTCATTCAAGATATTGCAAACAGGCCGTTGGCATGACACTCCCCACCCCCAACTTATTGGTTATCCAGATTCATTGGGGGGAGCGGGGAATACTGGCTGGCTTTTTGATGCTGATGGCTTCCCATCTGTGTAAACGCTGCAAAAAAAGTGTTCGTATGCATGAACAGCACCAAACCTACACCAAACACCCATCTGGAGGTACTCTAGGAATAGAAATTTGCTGGACAGTCCGGTTATTCATCAAGTCAGAAAGGTGAAGTGAGTAATGTATAAAGGGGTTCAAGGGGAACCACAAAAGAATCAGGAAAATTGATTCAAATCATTCTGAATACAGAGTTGAAGAGCTTTCCAGTTATTAGTTGCCAAGTTGCCAAGTTTAGAATCGTAGAATCATAGAACTGTAGAGTCGGAAAGGACCACAAGGGGCACCTAGTCCAACCCCCTGCAATGCAAGGCTCTTCTGCCCAATGTGGGGCCCGAACTGACGCCTGCTCTACCTACTGAGCTATCCTTCCATTTCAGAGTGGGTGTGGCAGACAGAACAAAAGCTTACTTCTACCAGGAAAGGTGAGGATTCTTAACAGTCCGACCCTCTGCCTACCTACTGTGGCTCTTTGTGCCCAGTCTTGGCCCCTCCCTATCCCCACCCAACACTTTGTCGAAACTTCTTGAAAAGTAGTGGGCAAAGGCAGTGGAGTAGCGTAGGTTGTCAGCACCCGGGGCAAGGCAAGTAATTTGCGCCCCCTAACCCAGTAGGGGCAGAGAGCTGCGAGTGCGCCCCCCCCCCCCATGTTGCGCCCGGTGCAGCCAGCCCCCCCTGCACCCCCCACGCTAAGCCACTGGGCAAAGGGTATCTGTATTTGTTTAATTTTTCCCCGGGGTGGGGCACCAACGCCATCCCTCGGGTCCAGCTGGGAATCCCTCCAGCCTAACTTGAAGGAAACACGAGCGTCGTCGGGCGCTCGAATCCCGCGCATCTCGGTTTTCGAGGGCGCCTGCCTCCTCCCCGCGGACCTGGCCCAGCCTTCACGCCCTTCCCTTCCCGGCGCCCCTCCCGCTTACCTGCGACGACGGCTGGGTTGCTCTGGCCGCCCTCGGGCTTCAGCCACGCCTCGACGGTGAACTCCAAGCGGGGCAGCTCGGCCACCACCCCCGGGCGCAAGAGCAGCTGCTCCCGCCGGCCCGAGAAGTAGAGCGCGGCGACGGCGCCCGGAGCTGCAGACCCGGCTCTGGCGCGCGCGCGCCGCGGGAAGGGGCTGCTCTCGCCCCACGTGTCCTCCACGCTGCTGCCCTCGGCGCTCCGGGCGCGCCTGGGCTGCCCCGGACGCCGCCGCCCGCCCAGGACGCGGGTAGGTGGCGTCGGGGCGCAGCGGCCGCGCGGCAGAGCGAGTCCTGCGCAGCCAGCAGCGCTCCCCGTCGTGCGACTCCGGCGTCGGGCTCCCGCCCAGCAGGCCCGCGGTCGCCACCAGGAAGGCGGCGGTCGCCACCAGCGGCCTCCAGCCAGGACGTGCCATCCTCCGGGGCGCACCTTCGGGGCAGCCGCTTCCTGTCCTTGGGTCCGTGCCGGTCCCTCGGCTCCCTTTCACATGGGTCGGCCCCGGGCGCGTCGGTGGCTGCCGGGCTTCAGCTGCTGCAGCCCCTCTGCTCCGAGCTCCGGAGAGCG